TTCAATTCAATTAGCTGCATTTATTGTGTTAACAAAATTATTATTTTTTATATTATTAACACAATAAATGCAGATAATTGAATTATAAAATAGAATTTGGAATATAATAAATACATATATTATACAAAACAAACATGTTTTAACAAATATTTAGAAGTTATTATAAAATACCTCCTCAATATAACCATTTAATACAAAAAAAAAAAAAAATCATGATTGGTATAGCTATAATTAGAGATATTAAATAATATTAAAACTTTATTTTTGAGCTATTATAGAGTTGCATTAATATCATAAATTATGAATTATACTAAAGCATATCATAATGATAAATGTAAGATAGGATATGTAAGAATATATCTATATATGATTAAATAAATAAAAATAACAATAACAATTTAAGTAAGATCAAATGTTAACTTAAAAATTGTTATCAGCATTTTTAAATTGTTTAACTGTCAATAGATCAAAATTTTAATATATGATAAGGTAGGTATAGATTGTATACCATAAACAATAAACCTATTATAAATAAATAGTAATAGCATATACATATGTTTTAAGTAAAAGTTTTTCTAAGGAAAAGTTGATATTTAATTTACTTAGGTACCTATACATAATTTGGAAGAGAATGTAGGTACAAATGAAAATAATGAGGCTGTTAAAAATTATGCTATCTTGACTTGTATAGTTTAGTTTATCCTACAAACAATCAATATCTTCAAATAATCCTATTAAAACGTGTACTAAAAATATTACTCTAATTTAACAACAATGACTTACATTTTCATTGATTAATACGTTGTTGATAGACAATGTGCTATGATTATTAATATTAATATTAATATTATCATAATATATACTACTATGTAATTCTTCACAAAGTTCATCAGCAGCATCATCCAATGGTTTATCTCTCGGTTTATCTGTATCATCATCACTAACTGTAGATATTTCCTCATAATTTATATCTGATGTAGAATAGATTTGTTCAAGCATGGCCATTTCATTTCTAATCTTTCTTCTCTTTGTTATATTATTATTATTTTTATTATTATTCATATTTAAATTGTGGGTATGAAATATATAGCTTTGGAATATATAAGCTGTTATATAAAATAAAATATCATATTTAGTATGTAGGTACTTATAAAATAATACTAATTAAACAATATACCTATCTACGTAATGAGTTCAATTCCGACTATGTAGCCTAGGTAAATTGTATACTAGACTAAGTTTACCAAATTTCCTTTTATACAAAATAAATTATTATGTAAATAACAAATTAATATTTTACACTGTATTATTACCGATAGTACCTAATTAATTCTAACTTCTTTTTGAACATAGTTTCAGTAAAATTGTCTGCTATTTATTGTATTAAGATATTATACACCCATGTTGTCTGCATCTATTAGACATACAACATCAAATTGGAGTACATCAGAACTGATTTTCTGTAGTTAATTTTAATATTTAAGTGAATTTAGGTACTCTGGAATTTACTATTATCAAAATTAAAGATAAGATCATTTGGAATTTGTATTTTAATTATTGATTATGTAGTTTTGAGTATGTATCAGAGCATGTAGGTACCAATAACAATCATACAACATTATATAAATTAAAATATCCAACAAAACACACAAATAATGTCCTTTAAGTTGTATACATGTAGTATAGGTAGGTACCTACCTAATAAGTAAATTTACTCATAGCGACTCACATTAACATAACTTACACAGCATAATTTTGGTTCTGATAGATGCAAATTGGCAATGTACTGTGATACTTACATACGTTTTTTAGTTTTTATATGACTACAACCATTGGTTTTAAAATATACATTATATAGATAAATATGGGTAAACACAAATGTATATACCTAGTATATTTTAAAATCAATGATACAACACATGTGCGTATGTAATATCCTCATTATTAATACGCTACAATATATAACGCACACTATTTAAAAAACGTCACGGACTGTGTCTAATATAGGTACTCACAAATTATAATTTTAACATATTAACCTATAACTAACTACACCAACTATATATACCTACAACAGGCTACCTGTACTAATAATAGTATCTTACTAACTAACCACTTTTTATTACTATACTAGTAGATAATATACAAATATATACTATACAAAGACACAATAAGTATAATAAGTATACAACACGTTTTTGACTAGACTTATAATAATTATTAATTGCAATAGGTATGTACTCACCTTCTGCAGGCTTCTCTTGAAAATTGTAGGTACAAAAACGGCCGGCGTACGGGTACTTAGTATTATATATCTAAATATCAGGAAGGTAAAATGAAACTAAACTATATAAGTATATAACTATTTACTTTACTCTTTGGCTAAACATTAACCAGCAGCAAATTAACCTCAGCAAAATATAAAATTGTAGCCGTCAAACTCGGATTTGGACTTTGGAGCACGGAGCAAGAAAATACGAATGTCGCGTAGTGCACTAGTGTCTAGTACAGTAGTACGCCGTGCGCGACGTCTGGGATTGGGGACCGGGAGAAGTCGAGAGTCGAGACGTCGCTGTCGCAGTCGCGTCACTGCTAGTTTGGAAATTCAAAATATTTGTTATTTTTAGATTTTTTTCGATTCCAATCTACGCCGGCTACGGGCGATTGGTGATAACTGCAGATAAGAGGCGATAGCAATGTACCCGATGTACGTTATGTATTATGACGTGAATTAAATATGTTTTATAAATGTGGTAATATTCTTACTCTATGGTTGACGCCCGCCAGCTCGTGTATTCTCCCGTTATTTAAACATATTATTTTGGCTGTGCAGAAAAATATATAAGATATATCGACAGATATAAGTCGCGGGAGAATACGCAGGCTGGTGGTCGTCAGCTAAACATTACCAATTTTAAAGAGTTTCGATTATAATATAAACAAATTTAAAAAATTAAAATAGGACTGCGCACGCCTTTGATAGCCATGCAGAATGGAGTACATAATCGTATATATGGGGCGTATATTGAATAATTAACTGTATAATATGGGCCATATTATATGGCTAATAATATACAGTATATAATATACCTAATATAATATATAATTATACTTCACAGGCTACAGTGACAAGTGGCGAGTAGTATAATATAGGGGCTATCTAGATTCTAGGGCATAGATGTAGGGCTTGAGAGGTTCGGCAGGGAAAGCGTTGATAAAGGCTCGTCAGTCTGGGATGGCCATCATGGGTTTGGCACCTAACCTACGCACAGTGATGGTGCAACTAGCACTAAATCTTAGGGTGGGCTACATCCCCACCTAAATATATTATTATAATAGTAATAAAATATAGAAAATATTTTTTGGGGGGCCCTATAAATTTGTTTGGGGAGGCTAAGCCCCCAGCCCTCCTCCCTGGTTGCGCTTATGGGTACCCATCACAGTATCACTCCATAAATGTATGTAAAAAATGTATGATATATAATATATATTATAAATATTATAATAAAACAATATTCATAAAAAGTTATAATAATATTCACTTTAAAATATTCTAAGAGAGTTAAAATAAAAATATTTTAATAATATTAATATTATGAACTTGTTGACTGGGTACTACTTGCCAATTAAGGTTTTATCTGTCAGACATACAATAAAGTATAACAAAATATTATTCAAATGACTTACAGAGATTGCATTTTTCCTTGATATGGACCGTTTTGAATTTTTGACTTCCGTCCTTCTAGAATTGATTCTGATTTCTGTCCTACCTGGACTTCTCTGCTTGATTGTTTCCTCTTCTCCTTCTCGTCGTGAACGTGGTTTCGTCGGTGGGTCTCAAAGTACTTCTTTTTAATTGAATTCAAAAATTTTCGTTTGATGAAGAATGACCCCACACCTGACACCAAATTTTATGTAGTAACCAGTAGCAGTTTCTACACGCTTCTTTTACAACGAAAGCACGTTACGTCGTTGGTTGGAAAAGATGAGGTATAAAATTTAACAATAGATTTTAAGTTAAAAACTCTTTAATTTAACTGTTAAACTTAATGATAGATTTCGACAGCGTAAGTATATGTATAACTTAACTACCGGAGAGAAAGTAATTATATTTTAACTTGTAACAAACAGAATCTATGCGACTGAGTAACTGACTCAACTAGCTCTGTACTAACTCTGGAGTCCTCTCTGATAAGGACCCCTATTTATATGGGACATGCCATGATCGATAGGAATGGCGTGATGTGTCTAAGCCAATCGTAGGACAGCATCAGTGAGCTGATTCGGTGGCGTGATTTAGTTCTAGGAACCTGGACTTTGGAACTACGTTTTTAGTAGAAAAACAGTATAACGACTATTAAATTGTGGATTTTTCATTAAAGCTGTCGTATGTGATCAAGGTGCCAACAGAGTTGGTCATTATTCAAATAAAAAGTTATTTGAATGATTATTCGAATAAAAAATTATTCTTAATTTTATTATTGATTTTTATTGTTATTCATTATTTTAATTTTTATTATTATTCCTTATTCTTTATTCGGATATTTTTATTTATTATATTTTATTCATTATTCGGTTATTCGTTATTCATTATTCCCCATAATCATATAAATAATAAATTTAAATTCTAAATAACGGTCGTTCACCAACGTGTATATCGAACCTTGCACTGAATTATGTACCCAGCATTAGGCGAGTTAAACCCCGTACTGTATATTTTTCACTCGTTTTTCCAATATACATTTATGACACGCCACGTCACAACGTAGGTCAATAGGGTTTTGCTAATAAATGTAGTATTAAATTAGTCGGATAATTAGGAATTGGGTAGTCGAAGATAAAACATTATTATGTCTTTAGCTTGAAAATGTAGATAATATTTTATCTTATAAATGTAGTCTTAGTGCGAGGTCACACGAGCGTTTTATTAACGTACGTTATTTTAACGGTCGTTACTTTTCCGGTCACACTAGCTAAGAACAACGTCAGTTATCATCAAAATGGATGACGAGGAGGTTGCGATTTTTGCGTATACTGCTTTGAAAATTATTCGCGAAAAAAAACGATTGCAAAGAAAATGGTGGGTTCACCCAATTAATAGTGAAAGATTATTGCATGGTGATTTTTACACTCTTTATAGTAGATTACGAGCTGATAATGTAAGTTTTTTTAATTATTTTCGTATGTCTTTAACGTCATTTGATGAAATTTTTGCCAAAATTAAACATAAAATCATACGTCAAGATACGAATATGAGATCTGCGATACCACCCGAAGAAATGCTAGCTGTTACACTGAGGTAAGTAAAAATAAATATATTTATTATTGATAGTTATTTGTATGTATTTTAATATTAGAATTACTATACAAAGAAGTTATTAGAAATAAATAATTAAAAATAAACATACTATCTTGTATATTATGTTCTTTATTGAAAATATTTTAATTTATTAAAAGAAAAAAAATCAATTTACTTGAAATAATTGATATTATACAATTTTATACAATTCACGTATTTTTGACAATTTCCGAAGTAAAAAAAAAAATATTAAAAATAATTTTACTGCAAATCATTAAAATCCATCACTTGTTGACTGGTTTGATGGCGGATTTTGGTCTTCTGGAGAAAACTGTGTGTAATAAGTCTGTATAGAATTAGAAGATGATGCTGAGTTTGGACGTAATATATTTGATTGCAAATACTGATCGTTATATGTGTAAGGTGATATTGGCATATTGTGATGACGATATGGTGCAACATAAGATGTTTGAGCAATTGAAGATTCCATTGTTGAACCAGTATATTTTATATTTTGTAGCAGTTGCATAACTTCAATTCGAAAACGCATTTTTTGATTTAATGTTAAAGTTTTCACTATAGGCAATGTTGATGTATAAAATGCCATATCTTCATCAGTCATGTCCACAGATGAACTATTCGTGTTAATTGTTCGTGAATCCAAAAAAGCACCTAATTTATCCTCAAGTGAATGTGTTGTTTTTCTTTTTTTTGCTGGCGTGGACTTATGGCATGGACTAATAGATGTATCATTTTGGTTTCCTTCGTTTTCAGAGCATTGAGTATTATTATTAATATTTGATTCAATATCATTGAAATCAGATATAGGTGTATCTTCGTTAGATATACTACTACAAGTTGGACGCTGTTCTCTACATTTTTTCAAAAATGAAAGTTGTTCGAAAATGTATCTTTGAATTTTTTTCATACCACTTCCAGATTTGTTACATTCAGCTTGTTTTTTAAGACTGCGTGTATAATTGTCACGAACACTTCTCCATTTTGAAATAACTTCTTGTACTAAACAATGTATACATTTTTTAATTACTACCTACTTTTTAAAAATTAAATAGGTATATTTGTTTACCATTTAAAAATAAAATAACAAATAAGACAAATAAAATAAATATGTAATATCGTATCATACTGCATGTGTCATTTATTTTTAATAATAACATAGAGAGAGCTCATTATAGTAAAAATATTAAAATATAAATAAAATAGCACATAAATTAAATAGGTCAAAACATCTATTTTCAAATATTACCACAAATAATATACCTAGTATCATAGATAGTATAATATAATATCTTATATTATCTATGCTTAGTATAATAATACTTCTGTTTTAAAAAATTTTCTTATCATATTGTTATGTGAACATTTAATAATTTTTCCTAATTTAACATTAAGATTATACTTAGTACCCTATTCAAACCTATATTAAATATAAGACATTTAAAATTTAAATTTTTAAATTTTTAGATATTTGGGAAGTACAAACAATCTTTATGATTTACATTATGCGTATAGAATTGGCCGATCTACTTTAAGTAACATAGTACGAATAGTTTGCCAACAAATTTGGGATGTTATGTCAAGTGAATGTATGCCTACACCGAATGAAGAAGATTGGAAAAAAATAGCCGAAGGTTTTCAACATCGAGCAAATTTTCCACACTGCCTGGGAGCAGTTGATGGAAAGCATATTCGGATAACCAAGCCTCCAGGAAGTGCTTCGTTGTACTTTAATTATAAACATTTTTATTCCATTGTTTTACTCGCAGTAGCCGATTCAAATTACCGTTTTACTTATATTCATGTTGGTTCATTTGGAAAAGACTCAGATTCTCCCATTTTTAAGAATTCTAGTCTATGGGATAAATTACAAAATAATTCATTAAATATTCCAAGCCCAAACTTCATACCCGGTATTAATATTCTTATTCCTTACGCATTTGTAGGTGACGAGGCATTTGGTTTATCAACAAACGTACTTAGGCCTTATGCGGGAAAATATTTACAAGATATTAAAAGAACTTTTAACTATAGATTGTCTCGGGCAAGGCGTTACGTAGAATGTTCATTCGGAATATTATCAAATAAGTGGAGAATATTCCATCGACCAATTGATGTTAATGTGGAGTTTGCAATTGATATTGTAAAATGTTGTTGTGTGTTACATAATTTTGTACGCGATCGTGATGGTTTTAAATTTGACGATACTTTGACAATTACAGGGATGGAAGACCTTGATTATGATAATAATTTATACGCAAATAGATCAGTAAATAGATATCGGGACGCTTTAGCTAATTATTTTGTTTCTGAAGACGGACAAATTTCTTGGCAAAATGAAAAAATTTAAAACTATTTCATTCATTATAAAATAATAATTTATAATATTGTAAATTAAGTACTTATTTGTTATAATTTTTTAATTAACGATATCGTGTCTTGATTTATTATCTTCAATAAAAATATTTATTATAAAATAAATTGTTTTTATATTATTTGTATCTACTTACCAATAACTTTTTTTTCAGTTTGGGTGTTGTTTGAAAAATTTTCATATGAAGCAGACGTAACTTTTAACCAAGCTTCATTTTTTTTATTTCTGTCTTTATAATCTATATCAGACGTGTCCCACAATACTGGTCGTTTTTCAATTTCTGATATTAACTGCTCAGTTTCCATATTAACTTAAATTTTATTAATTAAGTGTAAAAAATTTAATTTAAAATGAAATCACCTTCTACCTACAAGTGAAAAACATGAACTAAAATAACAAAAACGGACGTAAAAACAACGTTCGTCTGTCTTGGTCAATTATATCTAATAATAATCTATAACGCTGATAAGCAAATCGTAACGGACGTTATAGCATGTCTTGTCCGTCGTCAACGTCGAACGGACGATAAATCCAATGGACGTCGTATGTGTGGCTGCTACGTATGATTGTAATGAATTTCAACAACGGACGTCATGACGTCCGTCGTAACGTCCGTTAATAAAACGCTCGTGTGACCTCGCACTTAGACTAAACAAACTAATAATAACAATATTTTTGTTAATAGGAACGATAATTCCGACTGTCAGTTAGATAAATTATTAAAGATATGATTTTGCTTACTGTGAATTGTGATTTTGTTTGGTAGTGTGGCAGCTTAACCGTCAGATACAATTATGCTTAATTTGTCTTTAATTATTTATGTCCAGAGTTTAAAAATAAAATGATCCAAGTAATACGAGTGACAGTGATTTTAATTCATCAGATGAAACTGATGAAAGTGATCACCGTTCATCTCAGCTATACAACTTGGCTTACTACTATTTCCCGAGATACACTTGGTCTTCCGATCAATTTCAGGTACTATACTTGATGGTACTTTTTAAATTAGTTTTCTCGATTCAAAAATGTAATAATAGTGTGTTAAATGTAGCAAAATGCAAAATCAAGGATCCAAAATTCATCGTCCAATTTAAACTACTTAAAGAGAAAACACGATAATTTGTTTGAAGAGTAAGTACATTAATGAAGTTCGAAAATCAAAACCAAATTGAAGAATCCAACATGGAATTATAAATTGTAAAAAAAAATAAAATGATTAAATATTCAAAATCAATTTTATGAAGACATAGTCAATTATATTATTCATGCAATGGCACCTTTACGTACAGTAGATAACTATTTAAGAAAATTTTTATCAATTCTGAGTTCTTGAAAAACAGTTTAAATTTAATTAGTCGTCGAAGTCTTGGAGAAGAATTGAAACTCGTTTTGAACAAAATATTGAGGATGTAAAAATTACTTGGAAAAAGTTAAATATTTGTGTACAACGCGATGTGTGGTCTGCAAAGAAGAGTTTTATGGTGTAATATTCACTGATTGATGAAGAGTCGTTAGGCGAAACTGCTCAGATGTCGCCGATTTAGAGGTGCTCATACACATAATAGAATCGCCGACATATTATACATAATATTTATTACAAGTACAAATTTGATGTTAATAAGGTAAATGGTAAACATAAAGATAATAGAAGAAATAATGTAATATATAATATATAATGTTAATACAACTTTTTTGGTAACAGGTAATAGCAACCATTACAGATAATGGCAGTAATATGGTAAAGGCATTTAAAGTATTTGGAGTAAAGATGTCATATTTTGGAGAGATGACACATAACCACGACACTAATGAATATGACAGTGATTCTAGTGATATAAGTGTTCAAAGTAGAGAAGATAACGACTCTTTTGAAAATGAAAATGAAAAAATTTTTTCTAGACACATCCGATGCTGTGCTCATACGTTGAGCTTATGTGCTACCAGTGATATAATGAAAACGATAAAAAAGTCACCACATCTCCAAGAAATACACAATCAAGTCATGAATAAGTGTAATGTGTTATGGAATGCTGCAGGTCGACCAAAATCAGCAGAAGTAATATTTATTTATTAATTTTTAATTTTAGATTCTGAGTTAAACGATAAATGTATTGATTTTATAATATGTGTGTTTTTTCAAATTATTTATTAAAATTTATTTTTAAAACATTTTGCTGGGATAAAAACTTTAACCCTTTGAGTCACACATTAATTTTGTTTATTAAAATATAGAAATTTAACATTATCATATTACAAAAAAAAATAATTTATCAAAAACTTTTTTAAAAAACTGGTGGTTTTACCATAGAAACGCTATGAAACAACATATTATTAATATTATTTTGTATGAAAATATATAAAACAGTTTTATAAAAATATAATATTACTAGCCGACCCGGCACAGCTTCGCCCGTGATTGGTTGTTTATTTTGCCTTCGGACCATGATATGTAGAATTTTTTATTCAAATATTATTGTTTGATATGATCGGCAAGTAAATATAAAAAAATGGTTAATAAAAACGGATTGAAATTTTTCTAGCATTATAAATGATAAAACTAAATACAGATAAAAAAGAAATAATTTATGTTTGATAAAGAATTTTATTGAAGTTGATGAAGAAAAAAAAAGAAAAAAAAAGAATTAAAATAAGAATTTTATAAGACTTCCGAGTATATGATGTTTTTTGTTATATTTCCTGTTGAAATTAAAATCATAAGATGATTCGGGTCCCCAGTTCGAGAAAATGCCACGTATAATTGGCCATGTGAAAAGCACTCTGTACGAAGATCTACGCCAACGTACTTGAATGTTTGACCTTGCGCTTTGTTTATGGTAATGGCAAAAGAAACTTTAACCGATAATTGAAGCCGTTTGAAAGAAAAAGGCAAGTCACAGGGAATCATGGGAATTCTTGGAATAAATGCAATTTCTCCTTTCGCTGGCCCTGTAAGAATTACGGCTTCTATAATACTATTTAGCAACGATTTTATTTGTAATCCTGTACCGTTACATAATCATTTTCATTTTCTAAATAAATAAATAAACTCTCATGTTTGTTCGCAAATAAAGTTTTTCAACATAGTTCCATATAGGGGAAGATTTTAAGCAAGCATTAACGACATCAGCTCGAGTACCTTTATCATCATAATTATGTTGCGGAATCTAAATCCTCCTAAATTGTGTAATGGTACACGTTTGTCCGTCAAGAAACTGATGAACAATCCCAGATAGCAAAAATATGTTATTATTATGTTATTATAATATCATGTAAATAATTACTAATAATATATTAATATTATTAATTCAATTATTTATGCTAACAGAAATGTTATTATAACGTTTTAGTAATATTTATTGGCCAGAGCAATCTTATTATATTAATGACATTTGTAAAACATTATTATAACATTTTTATCATAATGTTATTATGACGTTTATCTTGTAACAGTATATAAATATTTTTTCATATACTCAAAATCATATTATAATAACGTTTTTACCTCAAAATAAATTTTAGATCAAAAATTGCAAATATGCAAAAAATGTATTTGATATATATATATATATATTTTATATATCTATTATGCTTATTAGGCTGTTTTATTTAAAATATATTATTAATATACAGATGATGATTATTGTTGTGCACATAAAAATGTTAATATTGTAGTTACATATATGTAACTAAAAAATGTAACTACATAATATATATTATACCCAGATAGCAAAACCGTAACATTGATATTTTGGAAATATTGTACCTAAGTTAACACTAGAATATTTTATAATTTATTTTATAATTATATTTTAAGAATGTTTTAATCATTATATTTCATTTATAATATTGTAAGTCATGTTAAGATAAATTATAACTATAATATTTTAACTTAAATTTAGTGGGGCTATTCTGAAAATATTTTAATAGGAATTTAAAATAATATTTCATTAAAAAATTATAATAATATTCCAGTATCATCAATTTTAGAACATTTTAATTTTAACTTAATTAGAGTATTCTCAAAATATATAAATTGGAATTTAAAATAATATTGCAATTTACCGATTTCAAAAATATTTCACCAGAATTAATAATTTAATTTAATATATATATATATAATTATAATAATAATTATATATTATACTATATATAATTATGTAATATTTTTATTTAGGTATATATTGATTTTACAAAGATCAAAGATCTGTGTTGATTTTGCATTGTCTGTGTGTGTATACAATATATCAATATAATATGTAGGTATGATTGTCGATTAATATAATCAAATAAAATAATTTGATTTTCAACAATTGATTGTTTCTATATTATATATTATATATATATTATATATAACTATATATATTAGTATATTGATTATTGGTAGTTTTGAAAGGTCAAAATTATAAATTCCCTGCATACAAGTACTGCAGTACTTTTCAAAAGCGTTAGGAAAAACATGCAGAATTGTTATGCAAAACGTTGTTTTTTGTGTAACCGTATAGATATTATACTATACTTGAATTTCTCACCGAATTATGCTTATATTAGCATATTTTTCTGTATATTAAAATGAATATAATATGATAAAAAGTTCAAAATTGATTCATTACACCTATTGACATTATCAATTTTTAATTTTAATTTTTTTGTTTTTGTTTCTTTAAATTTCGCTAAAAAATCATTTGCTTGGTCAAATATTTTGAAAACAGAACACAAGGTTTCTCTAATTAATGTATGTATGTATATCATTAAAATATATCGAAAATATATTATCATAATATGTTTGTATAATACACTGCATTTTCCCCCGCGTATTCCGTCGAAGTCAAAATTCATTGTTTTACATTGAAGTAGCTACTACTGCAATGTAGCTATAATAGCTATACACGACGGATGTAATGTGTCGCATTTCAATCCGCGGCGGAAAACTCCGGCCAGCTTGCGTTTTAGGCGTTTTAGCTGAAAACGCGTCGGATACGCCTTGTATAGCCGGTGTGTCGGAAAACGCCACGGAATACGCGCACATTAAACCACACCACATTATAAATTTATAAAGCTACTATAATAGTAAATAGATATTATTTTGCTATAATTAATTATCTTGAGATAATGATATTGTAATATAATTGTCTACATAATTCAGACGTCATCCCATCCACCTCGCGTCCGGCCCAGGCACTTTCATTTTTATAACTTTATAAGTAGGGCCCGGAACTTGATGCATTTGCATCTTTTTATCTAATGCTTGTATTCGAGGCCCTTCTTTATAGAAATTTGACATGTGCCATGTAGAACTCAATGGTACTAATTTTATTTTGCATTTTTTGCATTTTTTCGGTAATTGTTGGTTTTAAGGTCATTTTTTAGCAATTTTAGTGCATTTTATGAATTTTTCTACTTTTGTAGGTATATTTGCATTTTTCTTGTTGAAAGAACATGTTTTGTTTCATATTATTTTGATAAAATTAAATATTTAAAAAACTAACACAGTATTATTTGTATTATTGACATAATTTCGTATCTTCGTTTCAAATTTATTTTAGGCCCGGTGCAGACGTGAGTTATTTTGAAGTGGGAAACCCCTGTGTTATCGTAATTTCGATTTAATTGGTTCACAAATTCTATCAGAATAGATTAATTTGTATGAATTCCGATAAATTTACGGCATTGTGGCATTGTGAATGTGAACGACGGACGTGTTTATCTTATTGATTTTCGACTGTTGTGACTGACTCTTTGATTTAAATATTTAATATTATTGATTAAAAATGCCTAAATACAAAGTGTCGGAAAACACTCGGTTGAACTCGTTTGTAAATCATTTTGGCAAAGAAGTTTTTTCAACCGATGGCTGTGTATTATTTTGTAAAATTTGCGAAGTAAAAGTGGCGGCTGACAAAAAATTTACAGTTGAGCAGCATATTTCGCGTAATAAACACATTAATGGAGTTGAGCTGAAAAAGAAACAACAACAACAAAGTACAAGTAAGATTCAACAATTAATTACTGAACCATCTAAAAAATCGTCTTTTAATCATGATCTGTGTCATGCATTATTATCCGCAAATATTCCATTGCAAAAATTACAGAACGAGGCATTTAAACATTTTCTGGAGAAATATACGAACAAAATAATTCCCGATGAATCGACTTTAAGGAAAGGTTATGTTTTTCAGTGCTACTTAGATACTATAAATAAAATCAGATCTTACGTAGAAAATAAGAAAATTTGGGTAACTTTGGATGAAACTACAGACACTGAAGGGCGCTATGTAGCGAATGTTGTTGTGGGAACTTTAGAATTGAACGGCCCCGGGAAACATTTCCTAATTAATACTGAAGTCCTAGAAAAGGTAAATCATAGTACAATTTCAAAACTTTTCGATAGATCCCTTCAAATTATTTGGCCTAATGGTATTAAACACGATCAAGTACTGCTTTTATTGAGTGATGCTGCACCTTATATGGTCAAAGCAGGTAAAGCCATTAAGGTATTTTATTCAAAAATGGAGCATGTAACATGCTTGGCTCATGCCTTACATAGAGTGGCGGAAGAAATCCGGAAAAATTTCCCAAAAGTCGATCAACTTATTTCAAACTGCAAAAAAATATTTTTGAAGGCTCCTTCGAGAGTACAAATTTTTAAAGAGCTAGCACCTAATATTCCATTACCCCCACAACCTGTGCTAACTAGATGGGGAACATGGTTAACGGCAGCCTTTTATTATTGTGAGAATTTTGGTACAATTAAAAATATAATCACAAAACTAGACAAAAATGATGCGACTTCCATTGAAAAAGTTATTGATTTGATCGCCGATCCAGATTTAGAATTAAACTTAGTTTACATTAAATCAAATTTTGGATCGCTACCACATTCAATAACCAGATTAGAATCGTCGAAAATATGTCTTGCCGATGCTATAAAAGTTGTAGAAGAAGAAAAAAATAAAATTCAACTAGCGCAAAATATAGTTGGGCGTGAAATTCAAAAAAAATTTAAAACTGTTTTGGACAAAAATAGTGGTTATAAAATAATGCAGATTATTTCAAAAATATTGGAAGGACAAGAAG